ACACTGACCCATGCCCCACCCTGAGCCTGTAAATCTTTCACCCATGGAATATTCCCTTCCTGAGAGAATCAGCCCTAATCCCTCAGCCAGTGCCTGGAGGAGCTGCCTAGGCCGTGGGCACAGGCAGGAATGTGGACATTTCATGGCCTTTCCACTCCCACTCCAGCTGCCTAACAACTCTGCACTGCTCCCCTCGCCCACCTCCCCGTCACTCCATCAGGACACTGCACAGGAGGGTACACTGGTTTTCCCATGCACATTGGGAACTGGCTGTTTCTGTTTTCTGGAGTGAAAAGGTTCCTGTGGGTCGGGTAAGGTCTCTGCTTGGCAAGAAGGTCTGTAACAGAGCCACTGACCACACCCACCTCCTCTGGGCATGGAGCAGCTCAGGCCCTCAGAGCTCATCTCCCCAGCAGAACTGAAGGGAAGACCGTGTGTACCCTTCTGTCCCTCACCCTTCACATGCCCAGAACCATCTTTGTCACACTTCCTAATTCCTATCACTGTATTTCATTAGTTCCATACTGTTTTACTAATCATGAATCTAAACAGATTGGTTTAAAAGGAGATCCTTCTATTTTTAAAGTAGCTGGGGCTTCTGGGGGAAGGCCTTGCCTTGCAGCCTGGACCTGCTGATGGGCGGTTCCCTGGCCTTAGGCAAGACATGCTGCTGGGGGAGGGCCTTGCCTTGCAACCCCGACCTGCTGATAGGCGGTTCCCGGGCCCCAAGGCAAGACCTGCTGCTAGTGCTTCTGGGGGCAGTCCCCACTGGGGTGCCTGACCAGTCTGGGTGAGGGGCTAATGGCTGTTTTTAGGCTGCCTGCACCCCCTTTAGGGTGGGGGTCCCCACTGGGGTGCCTGGCCAGTCTGGATGAGGGGCTGAGGGCCGTTTTCAGGCTGGCAGGTGACTGAAGCTCCCAACCTCTCCTTTTTTCCTTTTTTTTTTTTTATTCTGGGATTTATTTACCTTCTATGGCTGTCACTGGAGCTGAGAGCCGGCTTTAGCTCTGAGGCCGGCCCCAACTTAAGGGCTCGGCTGCTGAAAGCAGGTTATCTGGGCTTTGTTTAGCTTCTATAATTGAAACTCGGTTGCCATCACTGGCGCTCTAAGCTCTGAGCCCGCTGACGGCTGAAAGCAGATCGCTGGAGCTTGTTTAGCTTCTATACTTGCAACATTATTGCATCCGGAGGTTAGAGCTGGGCTGCCGCAGGCCGGGAACGTTGACTTCCTCTGTCACTGGAGCAAGCAAGCCTCCTGTTCGCTTCAGCTGCCTGGCTGCCGGCTGCCATCTTGGTTGGCAGTTAATTTGCATATCCTGCTGATTAGCCAATGGGAAGCGTCCAGGGGTATGGTCAATTTGCATCTTTCTCTTTTATTAGTGTAGATTAATAACCAGGAAAATGCAAATTAAAACCATAATGGGACACTCCATCAATCAGATGGGAGAAATTAAGAAGTATGACAAGAATTGGTGTTATATACTGCCTATAGGAGGAAAATAAGTTTTACCGTATTTGCCGGCGTATAAGACGACTGGGCGTATAAGACGACCCCCTAACATTTCCACTCAAAATACAGAGTTTGTTATATACTCGCCGTATAAGACTACACCCTCTTCCGCACACCTTCCACACACCAAATAAAAGGTAAAACAATATCAGATTTGATTTTAACATTTTAATTT